AAAGAAAGAAAGAAAGAAAGAAAGAAAGAAAGAAAGAAAGAAAGAAAGAAAGAAAGAAAGAAAGAAAGAAAGAAAGAAAGAAAAAGGAACCTCCCGAGTAACCTGGAGGTCTATGACTTGCTGGGGCTGCGTGGGAAGCAGCGGGCACCTGGAGAGGCACCGTGCACACCCTCTAGGTGACACAGTGTTCAAACCGATTCATACCTTTTTCTAAGAGGTGAGTGGTTGACTGCAATCTCACAGAGCCCTCAGCTCCCTGTAATCTCCAAAACATCTCTCAAGCCATTTCCTTCCTGCCTGGCTGCCTTCCTACCTCCCTCTCCTCCCTTCCTTGCCAGAGGGTGCATGTACTCCCCAGAAACAGAGGAAGAGAAAGCACTCCCCGGTGGGGCATAGCCATGCCGCAATCCTTTTCCTCTGTCTCTCCATTGCACTGAGATTCGAGGCACACATACGCACATGCCCGGAGTGTTTCTCAAGCCGCCAGAGCTGGATTTGAACCATGGTCAGCTGTGTGGGATCTAATTGCTACAGGCCCAGTGGATCCATATTTTGAAGTAGACTCTTCTTCCAAAATGTCAAACTCGAGGCCGGCAGGTGGCGTAGTGGTTAAGGTGCTGAACTTCCACGTGGCCGACCACGGCTCAAGTCCCGGATCTGGTGACTCGCTTTCTCCCTCTCTCTCTCTCTGTCTCTTTCTGGTCAAATGGAATAACAATAAATAAAATTAAATAAATTATTATTTTTAAGAAGATGTTGCACTCACGGAAATAGACAGTAGAATCGTGGTTCCCCGCGGCAGGGAGCAGGACAGGAATGAGGAGCGTGGGAGAGGAGCACAGTTTCAGAGAGACAGAGAAGCTGGAGACCAACGACCCAGCAGGGTGATTCGAGTCCATGAGACCATATTAGAGCCCCAGCCTGGTGGTGCCTGGACGGCAGGACTGGAAGCCACTGGGCCACCCTGGCCAACCCAAACCAGGCCCATGCACACCTACCCAACACTCCGACGACCTGGAGGGCTGGCAAGGGGGGGTCGCAGTGCAACAAGCCCCAGTCGCGGGAGCTTCTCTCTCTTTCTCTCTCTCTCATGTGCATGTACTATCATGGATAAAATAATGGTAATAACGTATTGTATATCTCAAATGAATACCATAAATGTCCGCTGTCTCACCACACACGGTAAGTGAGGTGAAGGGTACACTAATTAGCTTGATCTGAGCATCCCATCTTGCATAGATGTATCAAAACATCACATTGTCCCACCACGTACATAGAGATTATAACCATGGTTTGTCAGTTAAAACTAATATTCATCAAAAAGATCAAATATCTGAAAAGAAGACAAGGTAGGGCTGGCAGGTGGTGTGGTGGTTACAGTGCTAAACTCCCATACGGCAACCGCGGTTTGAGTTCTGGACCTGGAGGCCTGGTTTCTCACTTTCCCTCTCTCTCTTTGTCTCTCTGGTCAAATTAAAAATAACAAAATGGGGACCAGCAGTTGGCATAATGGGTATGCCGCTGGGCTCCCATGTAGTTGACCGTGGTTCAAGTCCCAGACCCGGTGGCTTAAACTCATGCTGAGTGCGTGTGCGTGCGTGCCCAAGATCCCGAGAAGAGAATGGAGGAGAAGAGACTGCGGCATGGCCATCCTCCCAGAGGGGTGATTTCTCGCTTTCTGTCTCTCTGTCTCTTGGTGAGTGCACATACCGTATAGCAAAAATCTCTCTCTAAAAAACAAAAAAAGATTTAAAATGAAAAATTTAGGGGCCAGCCAGTAGTATGGAGGTTAAGGCAGCTGGATCCCAATGACTGACTGCCTGGTTTAGTCCTAGACCCAGTGCTTTGGGAAACACACCTGGGCAATATGCATGTGTGCTCAAAATCCTAACAGGAGAATGGAAGAGACGGGATTGTGTTGTCGCCAACCCCCTTGGGGAGCGATTTATCACTTTCCCCCACCCCCTCTCTCTCTCTCTCTCTCTCTCTGTCTGGTTTGTGCAG